ACGCCTTTCTCTGAGCCTGTTTCCCCCTCTGGAAAATAGGGGTGATCAATCACCTGCAGGAGACGTTTGCTCATTTACACGTACGTTCTGCCGCCGACTGCAGTACTAGGTTCCAGGGATACATCGAAGGAGAAAGCAGGGTGCAGGAAAATGGTGCTTCCCCCTGGCGAGGCGCGAACACCAAATGTCTTTGTGTGCCCTCGAGGATCTGGGGCAGGGGCAGGAGCGGGGCCGCTCCCTGAAGATCGGCTCCAAGGCTGCCTGCAGCCTGGTCTCAGGCGGCTGCAGGGCCCCAGTTATTAGGCAGACTGTTAGATATTAGCGGGCCTAAAGGAGGAAGGAGGGGTCCAAAATGGCAAGCATTGCCGGGTAAGAAAGGGGTGCCCAGGGCCGGGGATTCAGCTCAGTGGCATGCGCCTGCCTGGCAAGCATAAGGTCCTGAGTTCAATCCCCGGTAGCAAAAACAAAGAAAGAAAGAAAGAAAGGGTGGGGTGCCCTGGCCGGAATAGGTCTGTGCCGGTTTGAGGAGCTATGTGTTAGTTGATTTAAGATCCGGAGACGCACATGGAGGCCAGAGGCCTTCTCAGCACAAGGACAGCAGCAGGTCCTGGAAAGGGGTGGAGCTTGAGCCTGAGAACGGAAGGAGGGGTGGAGCAAGGATCTTAGCCGCCTTAAACCCGGAAGTTAGGATGGGGAGGTGTGGCTTCAAGCTAACAGTCTCAGCCTTTTGTTGTAGAGAAATAGAAAAAAGGTCCGGGCATGGTGGCACACGCCTGTAATCCCAGCACTCAGGAGGCTGAAGCAGGAGGATCTTCTGAGTTCAAGGCCTGTCTGGGCTACCTAGTGAGCTCACGGCCAGCCTGAATTACACAGCGAGACCATATCAAAAAAAAAACAAAGAAGGTTTTGGCTCCACCTTTGAACCTTTGAAGGCCGGGCCTACAGCCTTTCACAGAACAACTGGAGTCTGGTGTTGACACAGGATGACTTGGTGTGGGGGTCGCAGTGTAAGCTGCAGATAACAGACAGGCAGGATGGGCATCTTGGGTCAGAGAGGGCATTGTCCTGTCTAAAGACTGAACATGTGATTGAGGGTGTTTCTAAATGTTGGGCTATAAGTCCGTCTTTCACAGGGGCCGGTGTGGCCAAGAAGAGAAGGTGTATGAAGACGTGGTAGATCGTGGCACGTTTCGAGGTGGACGAATCAAATCAGACCCAGTGGGTAGAGGAGTCCAAGTTCAGGCTGCGAGGTTGTCAGGAGAAACCCGGAAGAAATCTGCTTCAGAGTTTTTGCAGGGTACAATACAGCCACAGGGTAGCAGGGGGCTGGTCCCGGGTTTGATCGGTTTTCTCTGTGGGCGGAGACCGAGGAGTCCGTAGTCTGGATTTGCACCTGTGTGGAACAGGCGGGGTTGACCTTTTCTAGAGAGGAGATTTAGTCCGGAGAAACATTGAAGAGGAAAACCAGGAAACTTTGTGACTCTTGGTGTGGGAAGGATAACAGTACAGAGTCCCTGTCACTGGTCATGAGGGTTTGGGGTTGAGGGTTTGAGGTAGAATTGGAAAGGGAGTAGGGAGTAGCCTGTAATCTCACAACTTGGGAGGCTGAGGCAGGAGAATCACAGGCTCCAGTCCAGCCTGGGCAACTTATTGAAACCCTGTCTCAAAATTTTAAAAAATGTTAAAAGGCTGGAGATGTGGCCCCATGCCAGAAGATTGGTTTTGTACAGAAATTATTTCCACTCTGGTGGATACATTCAATAAAGGTCATCTCCTAAAAAGTAAATAAATGACAGCATGATTTTTGTTTTCTTCTGAGGCAGCCAAGAAACTGAAAGCTGCTTTTGCTGAAAAACGGTGGCTCTTTTTGTGGGCCTACAGCTGCCCGATGGGTGACTAAAGGCAGCAGGAAGCCTGGCTTGTCCACTCTCATTTGGTGTCTGGCTTCCTTGTGGCCTTTAAACTTTTTCTGTATGTAGCCACACTGATCATTTATGGAGCCTCTGTCCAAAACCTGATGGCATAAGTTTATTAGCCCTACTCCCCTTCAGGTCTGAGGACACAAAGGCAAGAGATTTAAACCAGGTATGGTGGTGCACGCCTGTAACCCAAGCACTCAGGAGGCTGAGACAGGAGGATCACCACAAGTTCAAGGACTGCTTGAACTCCATAGTGAGACCCTATCTCAAAAACAACAAAAATGTTTTTGTGCTGTTGCCTCCGTTTTAATTGCCATTATCACTGAGGCTAGGACCCTTCCAACAAATCTCCAAATTTGAAGCCGGGTGTGGTGGCGCACGCCTGTAATCCCAGCACTCGGGAGGCTGAGGCAGGAGGTTCACTCCAAGTTCAAGGCCAGCCTGAGCTACCTAGTGAGTTCAAGGCCAACCTGAACTACATGACAAGACCCTGTCTCAATCAATAAATAAAATTTTGAAATAAAAATTGTGTAGGGTTTTTGTTTTCAGTATCAGGAATCCAACTCAGAACTTTGCCCTTGCCAGGGAGGTGCAGCACCCAGGAGCTACATCCCTGCCCAATAAAAGTTTCACCTATAGCACAATGGCCTATTCTCCAAACGGTCACCAGGGGGCAACAGTTTCTCACTCAAGGTTAGGCCAGGAGGCCCCGCAGATTCTGACCCAACGCAGCCCCCGCCAGCCACACAGGATTGTTGCTCAGCTTTTCTTTTTTCTCCTTTTTAAAAATTGAGAATGCAGAGCAGGGCGTGGTGACGCACACCTGTAATCCCAGCACTCAGGAGGCTGAGGCAGGAGGATAGTTGTGAGTTTGAGACCAGCCTGGGCTACATAGTGAGTTCCAGATCAGTCTCAACTACATAGTGAGACCCTGTCTCAAAAAAAAAAAAAATTGAGAATACAATAAATAAATATATAAACATTTAAAAATAAAAGATACAAAAAATTGAATCTAATTTAAAAATACATCTATACTTGCAAAAAAATTTAGAATGCACATGTGGGGGTGCCCTTTGTACAGAAGTTATTTCCGCTCTGGTGGAGACATTCATTAAAGGTCATATCCTACAAATAAATAACAGCATGATTTTTGTTTTCTTCTGAGGCAGTTAGACTGAAAGCTGCTTTCAGCACTGTAATCCCAGCACTTGGGAGGCTGAGGCAGGAGCATTGCTATGAGTTAAATCCAGTCCGGGATACATAGGGAGACTCTGTCTCAAAAAGCCAATTAATTAATTGATTAAAATCAAGGTAAAATTCACATAAAAATTAATGATATAAGAGTAGATGATCCAGGGGTTTATATTCACAGAGCTCAGTTTTGTTTTGTTTTGTTTTTAATGATAGTAATGATACCAGAGAGCTGGGGTCCTGTCTCGTGGATTTTTTGAGACGGGATCTCACTCCGCAGCCCAGGCTGGCCTCGAACTCCTGGCAATCCTCCTGCCTCAGCCTTCCAAGTGCCAGGGTTGCAATGGTCCACACTGTAGCCCACATCCACTTCAACGTTCTGCATTTGCTGTTCTCTGGCTAGGACGAGTTCTCAGATACCTTTGGGGCTTCCACCAGATTCCTTCAGATCTGTGTGCAGCGGGTTTCCCCCGACACCCTAGTCACAACTTGTAAGTCAGGGCTGGGGTGTGGCTCAGTGGCAGAGTGCTTGCCAAGGGAGGCACTAGGGTCTCTACCCAGCACCAAGAAAAACACAAAAAACTACACTTAGACACTTGTATTAATGGACACAACTGTGAGTGCCATTAATTTTCACAGAGACCGTGTATAAAAGGTCAGGTCCCTTATCTGAGTGTTCAGACAAGTGAAACAATTGAATTATGTAAAACCTTATGTGAAACAGGAAAGCAAACTAAGTCGCTTGTTAGCACCAAGTAAAGTCTTTTTTTTTTTTTTCAAGTGAAGTCTTATCATCCTCTGTCTGTATTATCTCTCTCCAGGAAGTATCAAGGCTTAGAATTCCGGCATGTTGGGGGCCAAAGGGTGTCCATTTCATTTTCCTGTCCAGATTTTTATCCTTAAAGGAAAAAGATATATTTCACTTTTTTTTTTTTTTGGTACTGGGGATTGAACTCCGGACCTTATGCTTGAGAAGCAGGTGGTGGAACCACTGAGCTAAATTTAAAGTAGGACTCACCAACTCTTTTTTCCTGGTGACAGAATTTTCCAAAGCCCTATAGTTCTGGACAGGCCACTTCAGTTTCCTGAGACCCACACAGGGCCACAGCAGGAGACAAGAGTCCAGGAGGGCCGATTCTGGCCAATTTTGTGAAACCAGCATGGAGAACTCCCCGACCTGCAGGCACCCAGGCTCATGCAGCAGCACTGCCTGGCTGCCACCTCCTCAGTGAGGTCTCCCCCACCAACCTTTTGTTGTATGCGTCACCATTTACATTCCAGACAAACACACTGGCCATTTCCGGCTCCCTAGGGAGTTCTCTCACACTCCACCCCATCCGTTCCTCCACCAAGGTCACCACTACCTGGATTTAAATTGCTGCAGAAGGAACTGGTAAGTGACACACAGCGATGAAAAAGTGGGTAAAACAAAAAATGTTTACTCTGCTAGCAAAGGGTCGGCCTGCACCAAGAACTGTGCCATATGACCGACCCCAGGCTGGGTTACAGTCTGCCTTTTATAGGAGGTTTACAATCATGACCTCATTTGAGGCAGATCAATAAGACATTCCAGTTCTCTCAGGTCCCCTCACAGATGTCATGGTCACAGGACAGTTTAATTTTAACCCAAACGTAGCATCTTCTTTGTGGTTAGGATGATTATCTTTAGGATTCACCTAGTTAGCTATTCTAGCCCACGAGAGTGGGGGGGGGGTCAGGGTTAGGAAACCAGGACTGATGATATTCCTTTTATCTTAACTCTTTTATAGTCATACAATTCATAGAAAGTTTAGGATTTAAGGTCCAAGTGTACTTCCTAAGGTATGGCAACTTATCTCAGTTTGAGCATCTGGTCTCACCCTGGGGATGAGGCTAAGCACCTCCAGCATCTGTTAATCTTATAACATTTTAAACTGGGGCTGTGTGCCTTCAAGCTTTGTAGTTAATGATAAAACTCTGGTACGGTTGTCCTAAGAAACAAGCAAAGCAAAGCAAATTACAGAAGTGAAAGACAGGTTATTCTGTAGTTCCTTAACATTCTGTAGGTTTCAGGCTATTTACAGGAGTTCTCTTTAGCAAAATCATCACAGGTGAGTTTAGCACGTTCTACAATGACACAGAAATGGAGTACTGTTTTTTTGGTACCGGGGATCAAATTTTTTTGTTCTGTTCTGTCGTGTGTGTGTGTGTGTGTGTGTGTGTGTGTGTATGTGTTTGTGTGTGTTAGTGGAGATCGAACTCAGGACCTTGTACTTGCCAGGCAGGATTGGCGCCACTGAGCCACACTGCCAGTCCATCCTGCAGCATTGTTTATGGTGGGTTCTTGCCATCCACATTATATCTACAGAGGACAGGGGAACGGGTGCAGGTAGATGGCCAGCCAGGTGGCTGGCTGGATGACTGGATGGATGGACAGATGGACGGTATCTGACAGACAGCTTGAGAGATGGGCAGTGCTCCTTGCCCTCTGATATTTATATCCTGGTCCAGCCTCCTCCCATTTGGGGGTAGCCCCATACCCCCAAAGCACACAGAAGAGACAGGCTGTGACTTCCGAGGCTAAATCACTGTGGCTTCTGCCCTGCTCTTTGGTTCACTGCCCTGGGGGGAAGCCAGCTGCCATGCTCTGAGGAAACCCCACCAGCCAGGGGAAGAGGCCCACTCAGAAGCCTCCCTTCAACAGGGAGACCAACGCCTTGCCAGACGTGTGAGACAGCGGCCTGGGAAGCTGGTCTTCCAGACTGGCTCTGGGTTCAGAGAACTGCAGCCTCATGAGAAGCCCTGCCCCAGAAAGAAATCTGAGAAGTCAGATTTGTCGCTGAAACCCTAGGCTCCAAGACAGTTTTGTACCCAGTGGTACATGGGTAAGTGGACGGACACAGGCGGCACGTGGCTGGGTGGGCGGCTGCAGGAGGGAGGGGCAGGGCTGACGGGAGAGTAGACTGGTCCGAGTCTAGCCAGTGAGGCCCCCAGATGGAAGACCTTGGAGATGGTGCCCCCGTCCTTTCCCCTCTGCACCCTTACAGGTCTCCCTGCTGCTCAGAGTTTGCCTGGCTGTTTCTACCTGGCTGAGCTGCACAGATGCACAGACAGTGGCGCCCAGGGCCACCCTGCAGGAGTCGTGACACCAGCAGTTCTGTCCTCCGGGGCTTGGGAGGCCCTAGGCTCAAGTTCTCGCCCCAGTGGATGTCGATTCGGGGGCACAGGGAGAAGCAGAGTTTTCAGTGTCGCTCGGCTGCTAAGGAAATCAGGCTGCGTTTCCAGCAGTCTGGATTTGACAGACCTCAGCCCGCGGTGCCGTGTGGCACGCACCCCATCCGATACCCCACAGCCCAGCCCCTTCATGGGTGCAGCCGTTCTCCCTGGAGTACCCTCGGGAGGTGCCCGACTTCCAGCAGCCACCATCAGGGAGGTCGGTTTGTCCCTCCATCGCCAGAGCTCCCTGTGACCCTCCACCTCAGCAGCCCCTGAGAGGGGAGCCTGTCCCAGCCCACCATTCCACAATGGCTGGAAATGATATGGGAGACAGGGCCAGGCTGGCCTCAAACTCGCAATCTTCCTGCCTCAGCCTCCCGGGTGCTGGGATTACAGGTGTGCTCCTCCGTGCCCAGCTTGCAGCTGTTAAGCACCCTGTGTGAGCCAGGCGCACACGAGCCTGTCTGACAGCTGTGGGTGTGCAGGGTGAGAGGGAGGCTGGGAGGCTGTCGGGCAGAAGGCGACAGCCGACTTGACACACAAGTAGGGCCCAGGCAGCGCTCCTGATTTTACCCCCCATGGCGGTGGGGAGGGTACGATCCTGGCTGAAGTCCTGGAGGAGCAGCAAAGTGGAATGAGACTGACATGCTTTCAAAGAGGGGAAAGCTGGCCAGACTCGGGGTCAAACGTCCCCTCAGCGACAGGGACAGGGGAGCGGAAGAGACGGGGGAAGGCAGCTGGGGTGGGGAGCATCAGGGCAGCAGTTGTTTTGTGTGTTTTTGTTTTCTCTTCATACTGGGAATCGAACTTAGGACTTTGAGCTTGCCAAGCAGGAGCGGTGCCACTGAGCTAAACCCTCAGGGCAGGTTCTGGGTCTCTGGTCATGTCGGAAACCAAGAGTTGGGATGGGATTCAGCCACGGATTTGCATTGAGAGGGAACTCCGAGGGTGGACAGCAGGTACCGCTGTCTCGTCTTCCTCCGGTGTCACAGGGCTGGAAGCCCAGTGCCTCCGTGTGGAATCCCTATCACCTAGGGCACAGACCAGCAGGAAGAGGCCCTACCGGGGTCCTGAGCCGGAAAGGGGGGGGAAAAAAATCAGGCAGGCTGGTTGTTGTGGGCCGTGGGCGCCCCCTGGTGGCCGCTGTCTGCGCATGTCGATACCCCTTGAATTTAGGAGAAGCTGCTGCTTCCGCCCTCGGTCCACACCTGCGGCTCCGAGTCGATTCGGGGCGACCCTGCGCGTGCAAGACCACAGGCGACGCTCTCAGCTCGGCACTGGCCATCACCCTGGGCACCAGGCGCCTGGACCCCTGGGTACCCCCAGCCTGCCGCCCTGTCAAAGGCCGCCTTCACCCGCGAGCCGACCACCAGTCCCCCACGAGTCCCTGAGCGCCCCACAAGTCCACCCCAACCCACTCAGCAGTGTCGTCCTCATGTCCCCACCTCAGCTGTTGTGGGGTTTCTCACTTTTTGTGACTGAGTCTCCCTCTGTAGCCTCGGCTGACCTCGAACTCACGGCACCCAGCCTTGTACTCGACTTTATGTGGTGCTGGGGGTGGAACTGAGGGCCTTAGCAATGAGTGCACCCCTCCCTCGCCCTTTTTCTGTTTTGTTTTTGTTTTGTTTTCCTTTTGAGACGAGTCTTACTACTAAATCGCCCAGACTGGGCTTGAATTTCCTATTCTGCCTCAGCCTCTCCGGTGCTGGGCTCACAGGGGTACAGCACCAACTGAATCCAGTTTTTTAAAGTTTGCTCCACTGTAGAAAATCCGGAAGACGGGCGTGGTGACAATCTGTAATCCCACCCCTCGGGAAGCTGAGGCAGGAGGATCTTGAGTCCAACCTGGGCTACACAGCATCACCCTAAAAATAAGGTGGACTAAGGAGCAGCCTTCTGGGACCCCCGACCCCGGGAGACTGCTCGGGATGGTGGCAGGGAGGACCGGACAGACCCAGACCTTTCTCAGGAGTCGCCAGGCAGAGCCACCCCACCCATGCTGTTTCCTCCCCTTCTGCTCCTGCCAGGCCGGCCATTTCCTCAGTGCTTTCCCAGGCACAAGCCGGAGTCATGAGGTCAGGGCGTGCTTGAGTCTGGCACCGGCCCCAAATTTCCAGTGTTTTTTCCCCAGCTGGGACATGGAGCGCCATGGCCCGGTGGGTGCGGTGCACTCTGCGGGGCGGAGGCTCGCGTCCGTGTCTCGGCGGAGACACTGAGGCACAGAGAAGCCACACAGCCAGCGTGTAACTCGGTCCCAAAGCAGAACTCGGGCCCCAGGCTCGAGCGCCCCACCGCCTCCCAGCTGCGCCCTCCCCAGCCACGCCAGCAGGTGCAACGAGGTGCGGGGTTACCCAGCCCTTTCCAAGGGGCAGGGTTTTCTTCTAGGGTGTGGACGGAACCGGGACGCGCCCCCCACCCTCCGCCTTTTTTGAGACAGGGTCACCTTGGCCTGGAACTCACTATGGAGCCCAGGCTGGTCTGAACTCACAGTGATTCTGTCTCAGCCTCTCTCGTGCTGGGGTCACAGGCGGGCCTGGCTTTTTATTGATACAGGGTCTCACTGAGTTGCCCAGGCTGGGCTTGAACTTGTGATCCCCCTGCCTCAGGCCCCTGAAGGGTGGGATCGCACTCAGCTTTCTAACATTTTTAAATCAGGCAGAAGCAGAAGCAGACTTGGCGATACCTGGAGCTCTTATCACTTTGGATGCCAAACAATTCCGTTTAGGAAAAATAACGGGACATTACAGGTTCAGAGGCGCAGGGCTTTGGAAGGCACCCGGGTCAGTACCCAGCCTGAGAGCTTCGCGGTTAGCTGCATGGCCTCCCAGGAGCCCTGACACCCCCACCGTGTGGAGGAAGCTGCAGAAGCCCTGCATGGCGCTCCTCGGCCCATAGCCGCCTCCCGAGGCAGAATCCAGGCCAGGTCACCACCGGGCAGGCCCTGTCCCTGGGCCCCTCTCCTCAGGGGGTTTCGGGGCCCCCGCAGTGCTGGGAGGGCGGCTTCTCCTGGGGGCGCTAGTGAGGGCCCAGCCCACCCCCACACAGGCACACAGCGTCTCCACATCTGAAAAACACTTTTTATTTAAGATGGAGGAACCACAGAAACCGCTCTGCAACATCACCATGTGCAGCGACGCGGGGCTCTGACCCCAGCGCCTTCCTGTCTTGTACAAACTGCCTCTTTTCATGAACAGCCATCCTTGGAGAAACCTCCCCAAAGGCCACAGCAGAAAAGACCGACAGGAGACTTCCAATGCTGAACTCTTCTGCCCGATAAAGGGCCCCACAGGCAAATCAACAGCGCAGAAGAGGCCTGTGCAAGACAGACTTCAGACCCAGGCAATAAAGAGCTACCGGGAGTCAGGGAGGCAACAAACCTCCCCGGAGGAAAACGTCAGAGAGAGCAGCAGCAGAGAAGGAACAGGGGCAGCCAGGGCCGATGTGGAGAGAAGTCGCACATACGGTGCCAGCCTGGCATCCCGGCACTGCGAGGCTGAGGCAGGACTGCCCAGAGTCCAAGGGCAGCCCAGGGTACACAGCCAGACCCTGTTCAAAAGAAAAATAAAACCCAATCCCACCTTACAGGAGAAAAATCACAGCCACCACTCGGCTCCAAGGCCGCTGTGTCCGGAACCCAACAGACCCTGAAGGGTGCTCCAGGGAGGCTGTGGAAATCCTCCCAGGAGCGGGCAGACAGAGGGCCAGGGCCAAGGGCAACACCTGCACTGACCCGGGCTGCAAGGACAGCACCCTGCGTCCCTATACAGCAGTCTCCAGAGAAGGGACGCCATGGTCACTACAAGACCTGTAATCCCAGCTATTCCGGAAGCTGAGGCAGGAATCCCGAGTTCAAGGCCAGCCTGGGCACCTTAGCAAGACCCTGTCTCCAAATAAAATCTAAAAATTGGGGCAGGACGTAGCTCAAGGGCAGGGCGCGCGGGGTCCAACCCCCAGTCCCACACACCCACGAGCTCTCCTGACAGCCTGTTCCCTCACCTCCAAAGCCAGATGCTCAGCCCTCACGGCCGCTGCGGCTTCACAGGGTTAATGCCCCCGCGCCACGCCCTGCCAGCCCCTTAGGAATCTTCCTAGTGCTGGGGTTGGATGCAGGGCCTCGGACACACTTAGCCACCCCAGCCTTGCCGTGTCCCATCTGCCCACCAGTGACAGGGCCGGGACGGTCCAGCCCCCAGCTTCGAAGCAGCCTAGCACTGTTCTCTGTGACCTGGACAGCAGGGGACACCAGAGAAGCCAGGCAGGAGAGGAAGAAGCCACACAGCGCGGGCGCTGGTCACAGGTGCTTTATTGAGGGGCGGAGTCTCCGGCGTCAGTGCTGCTACAGCCTGGGGACAGAGAGGCCCGGGACTGAGGCGTGGCGCCCTCTGGTTTTCCTGTGGGACCTTCCGATGCCACCCAGGCTGACCAGGCCCTGTGAGCAGGGGCACTACAGGGTCCAGGGTTGCTGGCTGTTTCTGTCACCGTGACGGCAAGGGGACACTCACTGGATCTCTCGAAACGCCCGCTTTTCTACCAGCTTCACCTTGTACTTGCGCTTGAACCTGGGAAGCACAGCAGGTGTCAGGACGGAGCGTGGCCCCCGTCACCAGCACCCTCCCGGCCCGGTCCTCACTTGGCTCTCTCCCGGGGCTCGATCATGTTCCGGCGCTGAAAGCTCTTGAAGCGATCCTGCAGGATGTTGCCCTCGGGCTGCGGCAGACAGAGGGTGAGGAAGCAGCGCGGGGCACGGAGGGGCCCAGGGTGGGAGCCAGGCCGGCCCCGAACGGTCACCCCGAGACCCCACCGGACCAAAGGGCCAGCTGGAGAGAAAGGCCACCCACCCCTCCCCACAGGACCCCGTGCCCTCAGCCCCCGGGCAACGGCCCCACAGCCCAGCCCAGGGGCAGCCAAGTTGTCACCCACAGCCCCTGGGGGCACGGGGAGCAAGGATGGTGTCATCACCGGGCACGGTCCCCGTGCCAGCGTCATGGACACACACCTTCAGGGTCCTGAGCGAGCCGGAGCGCTCTGCGCTGAGCTGCACATCAATGTCGGGGGCCTGGTACCTGCGGACACGGCCCGGGGTGATCAGCGGAGCTCAGGCAGGGCGGGAACCTTGAGTCCGAGCCCCCGCTATGGGCCTGGGGACGGCAGGTCCCGGGGATTCTCACTTGAGCCGTCCCAGCCTGCGGGGCTTCTCATCCTCCGCCAGCCGCTTCAGCCGCCGCCGCTCCCGCCGCCGT